TCACCCACCGAATGAAGAAGTCAGCAATCTTGGGACTTGCCAAGATAAAATTGCCAAATGTTCTCATAAATTTTGGGAAAGCCACAACAATGTAAAAGGGAGACCTGGAAATCTAGTCTCTTGCCCAAGATATCCAGCAGGGGAATCTTGAAACCTAGAAGAAGGGAAAATATAAAACCCTTGAACCCCCACCAGGCAGGGCGCTGAGACTAGCTGAGTTGCCGACTTGTGCTTTATGCCAAGTGTATTTTTAATAAATGTTCTTGCTTTGCTTCAACACTGCTTTTGGTCACTCATCTGAATTCTTTCTCAAAAGCCTGACAAGAGCCAAGGAGGGGAGAGGCCCCTTAGACTTGGGCAGCTCTCTGGTAGCAGTATGACCTTCTTCAACTTTATTAGAGAAAAAATGCAAAATTAAGTTTCCCACGGGCAGTACACCAGAGTCACAATTGTTCAACATCTTTTTAAATATTTGTCAGCCTGGAAGTAATAGCATAGGATCTTTTTCACATTTCTATGTTTATTGGACATTTGTATTTACACCGTGAGCTCTGCGGGTGTTTCCAGAAGAAATTAGCATTTAAATTAGGGGACTGAGTAAAGAGAGTGACTCACCAGTGTGGGCAGGCATCATCCAATCCATTGAGGGTCCAAACAGAACAAAAAGGTGGAGAAAAGACTAACTCTCTCTTCTTGAGCTGGGATGTCCATCCGTGATGCCCTTGGACATCATAGTTCCTGTATCTCAAGGCTTTGAACTCCAGAGTTGACACCAATGGCCTTAACACCTTATTTGCAGTCCTTTAGCCTCTCAACAAGCTACACCACTGGCTTTTCTGGTTCACTGCTTGCAAATGACAGATTGTAAGGCTTCTTGGCCTCCATAACCATGTGAGCCAATTCATGTAATAAATCTCATATACCATATCTGTATCTATATCTGTATCCTATTGGTTCTTTTACTCTGGAGAACCCTAACGCATTGCCCTTTGCATTTATTAAAAAACAAAATTCAACCTAGTAAAGTTGAAGATCTACTTGGCTTTATTAAGGAATTTATGAATCGGGCAACATCTCATCCAGCAAGTGCAAGGGCAATGTTAACATAAAAACATTCAAACCTGTAAAGAATTTTTGTGAGTTTATTTGAGCCCAACTGTTGACAATTGCCATGAAGCAGATTCTCAAAGGACCGGGATAGTGCTCTGGATAATGGCCGTTTTTCATCTATTTTTATACATTGCAATCAAAGGAGGGGACATGGGAGGGTGACAAGAAATCCACTGGTGATAGAGTAGGGAGGCGGGAGAAAGCAAAGTGGGGAATCTCTGGGATTGGATAAAAAGTAAAAGATAGCCCTGGCCAGTTTTGCTCAGTGGATAGAGCATCGGCCTGTGAACTCAGGGGTCCCAGGTTCAATTCTGGTCAAGGGCACATGCCGGGGTTGTGGGCTCTATCCCCAGTCGGGGGCGTGCAGGAGGCAGCCGATCAATGATTCTCTCATCATTGATGTTTCTATCCT